CTCTCTCGCTCTCGCTCTCGCTCTCGCTCTCGCTCTCGCTCTCTCACTCTCTCTCTCTCGTTCATCTGTACTGAGTCTCTGGAGATCTTCTGTCATTCAAGAGTTCTGCATGTTTTTCGCCTCTGTGTTTAATTATCACTTTTTTGGGTTAATTCTATGCATTTATACCACCCTCAGTTTTACCGTGTTTAAAGGGGTAGTGCGTTCATCAGCCGCGAGTCTTGATGCGTGATGTTGAGCCGAATCAAGTCCACTTTTTACAAATTGTTGATGTTTGTAACAAGGCTGCCCAATTAATAAAATTTCTAATCGTGATTACAATTACAGATGCCACAGTTACGTAATCGTTCAAAGTCCACATATTATTCTGCGTGCTTAAGATGAGTTTTGTTTAAAAAACAGCATATTTGAAAAATATGCTGTTTATTTATTAAATACATTTATATATAATATAATTATATACATGTAAATATTTTCAATATATAAACTGTATGTGTGTGTATTTATATATAGGCCTACATAATAAATAAACGCTACACATGCATACACAGGGTTTCTCCATTGCATTAATTTCAGTTTTAGTATAACATTATAAAACCATGCATACTTTTACTTTTTTTTTATTTAAAGAAGAAACCAATCCTATGTATAGTTGACGTTTGAGGCTTAGTACTAGAGAAAAGCAATAAAAGTGAGTGTTTTCAGCTTGTTTATTTTCATATGAATATACGGCATGCTGTTGCGTCAAACAATGGTATAAACATCATTCAATGTAAATTGTGATAATCATAATTAATAATCGCAATTACAGTTTCAAGGGAATAATCGACAATTACGATTTTTGTCATAATCGTGCAGCCCTAGTTTGTAATGTATTAATGCTGTATTGTCATAGTGCTCGGTTTAAATCTGGCCGATAGGAGAGTTTGCATTTGGAGACGATTATAAAGAAATGATTATCTGCGTGGACTGATGTTACCATCTGTGATCTGATTGGACGAGAGAGCAGAACTGTGTGTGATGTCACAATCGGAAGAGTGTACAGAGCTCCGCCCACCACCTACAGATGAACAAATACTGCTGTGTGCTATAACACACACTCCATTCACACACACACACACACACACACACGGTCAGCGCTCTGGATCTCAGCATCAGATGTGCCTTTGTTTCTGAATGATTGTGTGTGTGTCATCAGGGAATCAGGATGTTGTCATTATTATTATTTTCCATTACATTATTATCATATTGATTGATTCATGTGTGATCAGGAACAGTCTCTCTTACATTCATTCTCAATGGAAATGAATGTGCATATTTCAAATGAATGTTTATATTTCACGTTTTGCAGACAGTTTACAGTGAATGTTTAGATGGAGCACATAAGATGTACACAGAGACATGCATGCATACATTATACTGTTAACATTTATAGGGTGATATGAACACATGAACACATAAACAATCTCTAGAACTGCTCTGAGTCACTTCATGAGCATTTGACCGTTTCATTTGAGAGAAACTATCGTCATCTCATACGCACACAGAGATTTATTCACGGCAACCCGTCAAAATAAAAGTTCGGTTTAACTTGAAGAAATGATTGTGCCTGAAATATATTACTGTTGATCAGTAGAATGTACGTAATACTACTACTACTAAAATTATTAAAAGTAAATTTTTTAAGGAATAATTAAACAATATTTCTTTCATGTTTTAATGTTAATCGTAAATCCCCTTTGTTTACCAAAAGTTTAAGTTTGTTTAATTTTTATTTGGTTAAAAGATTAATTAAAATAATGTTTTATGCCTTCATTTGATAACCAGAAAAATACAAAACGACGAATTTCTGAGGGAAGGGGGAGACAATATTTCATAGGCTATTATAAAAATTAATTTTAATACATTTAGTTTTTATGAAAAAAAAAGTTGTTTAATGCATTTTTGTAAATGACATAAAAGTCAACTTTGAATAAATTGATTGTATAAGTTTAATAATTTTGTAAATGTCATTTAACCATTAAAAAAAAGTCCAGAGAAATTAAAATGGAAAAAAACTTTCTTCATTTTGTGCTTTTCCTCCCTTATATTATCTATAATTTAGTGATTTTAGTCTGTCCTGCTACTGGTCTTCTGTTTTTATTTCGTAAAAAAAATAAAAGTGTGTTTATAACACATATTTTAAAGCTGTTGGTGCACATAAAGCCATACATTTCAGAAAACTCTGCTGGAATCGTGACCCCAGAATGAACCCAATAGAGAGAGGTTCACACGTGATGGTCGAGATGAGGAAGTGTCAGCGTGACGTGGTTAATCATTAGCTCGTCCTGCTTCACGAGATAACTGAGAATGATCACGATCTCGTTTTTATAAAAATTAATTTTAATACATTTAGTTTTTATGAAAAAAAAAGTTGTTTAATGCATTTTTGTAAATGACATAAAAGTCAACTTTGAATAAATTGATTGTATAAGTTTAATAATTTTGTAAATGTCATTTAACCATTAAAAAAAAGTCCAGAGAAATTAAAATGGAAAAAAACTTTCTTCATTTTGTGCTTTTCCTCCCTTATATTATCTATAATTTAGTGATTTTAGTCTGTCCTGCTACTGGTCTTCTGTTTTTATTTCGTAAAAAAAATAAAAGTGTGTTTATAACACATATTTTAAAGCTGTTGGTGCACATAAAGCCATACATTTCAGAAAACTCTGCTGGAATCGTGACCCCAGAATGAACCCAATAGAGAGAGGTTCACACGTGATGGTCGAGATGAGGAAGTGTCAGCGTGACGTGGTTAATCATTAGCTCGTCCTGCTTCACGAGATAACTGAGAATGATCGCGATCTCGTTTGTTTGTTTGTTTCACCTGAGACGTTCAGGAATGTGTCACATGCTCACATTGCTTCTGGGTTCCTGTTTGAGTGACGTCCCGCTGAAACCTTACTGGACGAACATGTCCCTTCCGACGTCATTACTCACCTGTGTGATGCTTTTCTGTTTTGAACCTGCTAAACGTTCAGGAGCTCGCAGGTGCTTCAGGTGGGGTGCTGTGAGTCCCGTCTCGCTCTCGAGTGGCCCGAGATTCACAACAGTGTACTTGCACACTCTGTTTGTATGAGTAGTATGCGATGCTGAATTCAGCCACAGACACATGAGCGTGATGCAGGGGAATTTCTGGAGGAGGAAATGCGTGTGTTTCCCACACAGATCAGCATTTCATATCAGACACACGCCTCCCTTAATGCAGTAAATCTGTCAAATGAAAATTGTGAATAGGCTATTCTAATAATTTAGCCTCGTTCGAGCCACAAAATACAGTGGCTGCAGTGGATCACGTTTATGGACATAATATAAACATAAAAGAACTATGTTCTTTGCATTAAACTGCATGTGTGTGTATAACTATTTATGCAATTTGTAAAATTATTTTTGTTTCAAATGTTTTAACAGACAGTCCTGTTATTCCTTTGCTTTGAATAAACAGTTTAATGTGCTGCTTGATTTGGTTTATGTTTGTTTAAAATGCCCTCTTGTGGTAAGCAGCATTTTCCCCTGACTAAAATTTCCTGTAAAATTTGAATATTAGTCATTTTTAAGTTTTAAGTTAAAATTGTTGTGAATGTAGTTTTTTGGGCTATCGGCAGCGTTCCTGCTGTTTCATGTGCTCGTGTGTTTAAATACACGTGTGTGTGTTTCAGGATGTGAAGCTCTCTGCTGAAGTAGAACCGTTTATCCCTCAGAAGAAAGGTGTTGAAGCATCATTATTACCCATGAGTCTGTGCGGTGAGGGAGGAGCTGAGCCCACACAAATCCAGCTTGTACTATTCTAAACGATCACTTTAGGATGAATCACGTGTTGCATTCCTCATTTCTAAGTCACTTTGGAGAAAAGGGTCTGCTAAATTAATAAATGTGGTTCAATTTCCAGAAAAAAAAAAAAAAGTATATTTGCTATCATTTGCTGCATTTGTCAACTTTTAGGAGAACATTAGCTTGCAAATGATCTCAAAGTTAACAGGCATTAACTAATAGGTCTTTACATTTTAAATTTGATATGTGACTAGAGCTGCACAATTAATCGAATTTCTAATCGCAATTACAATTACGGATGCCACAGTTAATCATTGAAAGTCCACTTATGTTATTCTGCATGCTTAAGATGTGTTTTTTTCTTTCTACAGCTTATCTTAAGGGTTTTTCCATTGTTTTAATTTGAGCATAACGTTATAATACCATGCATACTTTTACTTTTTTTTTATTTAAAGAAGAAACCAATCCTATGTATAGTTGACGTTTGAGGCTTAGTACTAGAGAAAAGCAATAAAAGTGAGTGTTTTCAGCTTGTTTATTTTCATATGAATATACGGCATGCTGTTGCGTCAAACAATGGTATAAACATCATTCAATGTAAATTGTGATAATCATAATTAATAATCGCAATTACAGTTTCAAGGGAATAATCGACAATTACGATTTTTGTCATAATCGTGCAGCCCTAGTTTGTAATGTATTAATGCTGTATTGTCATAGTGCTCGGTTTAAATCTGGCCGATAGGAGAGTTTGCATTTGGAGACGATTATAAAGAAATGATTATCTGCGTGGACTGATGTTACCATCTGTGATCTGATTGGACGAGAGAGCAGAACTGTGTGTGATGTCACAATCGGAAGAGTGTACAGAGCTCCGCCCACCACCTACAGATGAACAAATACTGCTGTGTGCTATAACACACACTCCATTCACACACACACACACACACACACACGGTCAGCGCTCTGGATCTCAGCATCAGATGTGCCTTTGTTTCTGAATGATTGTGTGTGTGTCATCAGGGAATCAGGATGTTGTCATTATTATTATTTTCCATTACATTATTATCATATTGATTGATTCATGTGTGATCAGGAACAGTCTCTCTTACATTCATTCTCAATGGAAATGAATGTGCATATTTCAAATGAATGTTTATATTTCACGTTTTGCAGACAGTTTACAGTGAATGTTTAGATGGAGCACATAAGATGTACACAGAGACATGCATGCATACATTATACTGTTAACATTTATAGGGTGATATGAACACATGAACACATAAACAATCTCTAGAACTGCTCTGAGTCACTTCATGAGCATTTGACCGTTTCATTTGAGAGAAACTATCGTCATCTCATACGCACACAGAGATTTATTCACGGCAACCCGTCAAAATAAAAGTTCGGTTTAACTTGAAGAAATGATTGTGCCTGAAATATATTACTGTTGATCAGTAGAATGTACGTAATACTACTACTACTAAAATTATTAAAAGTAAATTTTTTAAGGAATAATTAAACAATATTTCTTTCATGTTTTAATGTTAATCGTAAATCCCCTTTGTTTACCAAAAGTTTAAGTTTGTTTAATTTTTATTTGGTTAAAAGATTAATTAAAATAATGTTTTATGCCTTCATTTGATAACCAGAAAAATACAAAACGACGAATTTCTGAGGGAAGGGGGAGACAATATTTCATAGGCTATTATAAAAATTAATTTTAATACATTTAGTTTTTATGAAAAAAAAAGTTGTTTAATGCATTTTTGTAAATGACATAAAAGTCAACTTTGAATAAATTGATTGTATAAGTTTAATAATTTTGTAAATGTCATTTAACCATTAAAAAAAAGTCCAGAGAAATTAAAATGGAAAAAAACTTTCTTCATTTTGTGCTTTTCCTCCCTTATATTATCTATAATTTAGTGATTTTAGTCTGTCCTGCTACTGGTCTTCTGTTTTTATTTCGTAAAAAAAATAAAAGTGTGTTTATAACACATATTTTAAAGCTGTTGGTGCACATAAAGCCATACATTTCAGAAAACTCTGCTGGAATCGTGACCCCAGAATGAACCCAATAGAGAGAGGTTCACACGTGATGGTCGAGATGAGGAAGTGTCAGCGTGACGTGGTTAATCATTAGCTCGTCCTGCTTCACGAGATAACTGAGAATGATCACGATCTCGTTTGTTTGTTTGTTTGTTTCACCTGAGACGTTCAGGAATGTGTCACATGCTCACATTGCTTCTGGGTTCCTGTTTGAGTGACGTCCCGCTGAAACCTTACTGGACGAACATGTCCCTTCCGACGTCATTACTCACCTGTGTGATGCTTTTCTGTTTTGAACCTGCTAAACGTTCAGGAGCTCGCAGGTGCTTCAGGTGGGGTGCTGTGAGTCCCGTCTCGCTCTCGAGTGGCCCGAGATTCACAACAGTGTACTTGCACACTCTGTTTGTATGAGTAGTATGCGATGCTGAATTCAGCCACAGACACATGAGCGTGATGCAGGGGAATTTCTGGAGGAGGAAATGCGTGTGTTTCCCGCACAGATCAGCATTTCATATCAGACACACGCCTCCCTTAATGCAGTAAATCTGTCAAATGAAAATTGTGAATAGGCTATTCTAATAATTTAGCCTCGTTCGAGCCACAAAATACAGTGGCTGCAGTGGATCACGTTTATGGACATAATATAAACATAAAAGAACTATGTTCTTTGCATTAAACTGCATGTGTGTGTATAACTATTTATGCAATTTGTAAAATTATTTTTGTTTCAAATGTTTTAACAGACAGTCCTGTTATTCCTTTGCTTTGAATAAACGGTTTAATGTGCTGCTTGATTTGGTTTATGTTTGTTTAAAGTGCCCTCTTGTGGTAAGCAGCATTTTCCCCTGACTAAAATTTCCTGTAAAATTTGAATATTAGTCATTTTTAAGTTAAAATTGTTGTGAATGTAGTTTTTTGGGCTATCGGCAGCGTTCCTGCTGTTTCATGTGCTCGTGTGTTTAAATACACGTGTGTGTGTGTGTGTGTGTTTCAGGATGTGAAGCTCTCTGCTGAAGTAGAACCGTTTATCCCTCAGAAGAAAGGTGTTGAAGCATCATTATTACCCATGAGTCTGTGCGGTGAGGGAGGAGCTGAGCCCACACAAATCCCCTCCTACCTGATCACCTGCTACCCCTTTGTACAGGAGAATCAGAACAACAGGTACACACACATACACACACACGCTCATTTATACACACACACACACACACACACACACACTCTCATTGAACCGTTTATCCCTCAGAAGAAAGGTGTTGAAGCATCATTATTACCCATGAGTCTGTGCGGTGAGGGAGGAGCTGAGCCCACACAAATCCCCTCCTACCTGATCACCTGCTACCCCTTTGTACAGGAGAATCAGAACAACAGGTACACACACATACACACACACGCACGCTCATTTATACACACACACACACACACACACACTCTCTCTCTCACACACACACTCTCATTTATACACACACACACACACACACACACACACTCTCACACACTCTCACACACACACTCTCTCACACACACTCTCATTTACTCAAACATTGTTTTTCTATCAGGTTAATAATATCGAATGATATGAAACCTGTGCAAAGCACTAGATTTAAATACAGACATGGTTTTGCTGATTTCGAAGCGTCTTTAACTACTGAGGTTTGCCTCACTAGTCTGTTCTCAGCAGGTCTTACTGATGATATTTTGGACCTCATAAGTATAAACCTGCACACACACACAGCATTAATAACCTTAATAAACTTGATTAAATCATGTAAATCATGTAAAGTGTCCTCATTGCCTGTGGTCTAGTGTGATATGTTTATGAAATTACTTCATGCATATCGGTGTGTGATTGCCTCTGTTCCCAATGGATTCTGCTTCTTTTCCTTCCTGTTCACTTTGAATTGGTGGAAGTGCACACTGTGTGCCTGTGTGTGAGTGTGATTGTGATTGTGAGTGTGTGTGTGTGTGTGTGTGTGTGTGTGTGTGAGAGAGTGTGTCTGTGTGTGTGTCACAGCTGAATCACAGTGTGGAAATGGAAAAAACGGACAGTTTTCAAACAGTTTTTCCTGTCTGCCATTGGTCAGACCAGCACACAGTCCCGCCCCAAACACATTTGTCTTGATAGTCCTACCCAGAAGCCTCTGAAGTGCTGTTAGACACGTGTTCCCTTTATAATCTGAGATTGTGTCTGTGGTTCAGTCGGCAGATGCCTGTGTATAACGGAGATCACCGCTGGCAGCAGCTCAACCCGAGCCCCGGCGGGCCGTACCTGGCGTACCCGTTCCTGTCATCCCCGCAGCCCCCCGTCACCAGTGATTACCCCACATACTACCACACCATCATGCCCACACCCTGCCCTCCTGTCATGGGCTTCTACCAGCCCTTCCCGGGGCCGTATGCGGGGCCCCTGCAGGCCGGCGTTCTGAACCCCGTGTCTGACTGCAGCGAGCGGCCGCTGCCACAGAGCCAGACGCAGAGAGGAAGAGGCGTCTCACGAAACCCCGTCCCACACAAGGTACGAGATGACACCTGAACCCACACACTCACTGCTCACTAGTGTAAACTAACGCTCACTTGCGTCACTCACAGCAGCCGGTGAGAGCCAAGCGTCTCGTGATGCGGAGTGTGGCGGTACAGAAGGAGGTGTGTGCCGCCGGGCCTGATGGGAGATCCAAGACAGTGCTGCTGGTGGATGCGGCACAGCAGACAGGTACTGAGCTGACCTTTGACCTTTAGTCCTGAACTACTGACCCCTGAGCACACTGCTCCGCGTGTGGTTTCAGATTTCCCCGGCGAGGCGTCTGGCAGTGTCAGATGTGCGTCGGATCAGGCGAGTCCTCAGCAGTGGAAGAAAGCTCAGCGCAGATGCACGTCTCAGCAGGAGTCGTCCAGCGAGCAGGGAGCCAGCGAGGCCGACATCGACAGCGACAGCGGCTACTGCAGCCCCAAACACAACCAGGGAGCCGCCAACACCTCCACCAATCAGCACACGGCTGCCGCGGTACGTTCAGCTCGTCTGGCCTGAGACACATGTCTGTTTGATTTCATTATGGTGAGAGTTGTTGTGGTTGCTGTTCTCTCATCTGTGTATGGGTGTGTGTGTTTGTGTGTGTTTGCAGGCTGTGGACGCTGGCGTCATGACAGGTAAGATCCTTACCTTCCACCTGAACTCTCATGAGTGACCGCAACATGATCAAAAACTACACACCAAGAACTAAAGCTGTAACCGTAAAGTTGTAATAATCGCTCAAACTCTAAGAGAATAGTGAGTCCACACCATGACTATAACGATAACAACACAGAGGAATGATATCGCTGGAGTCACTTTCAAAGCAGTGAACTGTTCATTATGAATGATAAAAACATTGACAGCCAATCAGAATCCATCTGACTTTAAAGAGCTTCAGCATTTAAAGCAGCAGACGACAAAACTGAAGTGCTCTAATAAACAGAACGATAACGTCTGTTATCGTTATTGTTCAGTTATCGTTATAATTGTTGTTATAGTGATCATCATTATAGTTACAGTTATTGTTATATTTGTCATCATAGTTAGAATTATAGTTAGCCTCATAGATATCGTTAAAGTTATCACTGTAGCTATTGTTAATGTTATAGTTGTAGTTATCACTATGGTTCCTATAGATATGATTCCTGAACTGAACTTGTGTGTGTGTGTGTGTGTGTGTGTGTGTGTGTGCAGGTGCAGCTGTTAGCTGGGGGAATGTAGCCTCACAGACCGTCCAGAAGCCGTGGACAGATAGGAACACAGCGTATCACAGAGGCAGAACACCCGAGCAGAGGAACTACACACAGGTAACACTCGAGTGTCACACACATCACATGACATGCTGCTTTGACAAATCTGACTTATTCTACATCATCTGACCCACAGGACTTCCAGATGAGCTTTGGAGGTCGTGCAGGAGGACAGAGATCAACTCCTTCAGAGACACCCAACACACACCTCACACCTGAGCCACTGTACTTTCAGGTACACTCACACACACGCACTCTCTCTCACACACACACACACACACACGCACACGC